GACTAATGAATGGGCCAGCCTGAAGACGACGCTGTGACAACTCTGCATCTGTTTGGCAAATATTCACGTGCTGTTCATGCAACATTGCCTTAGTGCTTTAGCAGTCATTACATGGCATAGGTTTCTGATTCACACAGCGAGTGTCGAGTATGATTATCCACGGCATACCCCATGTAACAGTGTTATCGCCATTGCCGAAAAACGTTGTTTGTCACCGGAAGTACTAAACAACGTAATCTCTCGCGAAGTGCCGTGACCTACTTACGGGCCCTATACAATTCTTGATTTGTCAGCATCATACCCCATTGTTAATTTGTAGTACCTGCACCTCTTAATACTTTCATTCCATCTAAGGCAGGCACACCTTCATGCACCTGGAATACTGTTCAGACCGACCTTCAAACAAGTCCACACCCTGTGTAAAGACAACTTGGATATCGGATATTGTCAACTGTAATGACGGAAAATTTGTTATTGAGTAGCTAAGGGCGAACAAGCGTCAACATGTGTTGTTCACTCTCATCTCGCTAGAGGTTGCAGTTATTGAAGCAGGTCGTGTAGTGTTCCCTTGTGAGGAATACGCGAAGACGTCTCCATGTAGTTCATGTTGCCAATGCATCCTGTAAGAACTAGTAATTATTCTATCACTTTAACTTTACCTTGTGTTGTGTAAGTTTACAAGTGCAACCTCGTTCCCATGCTTCATGTAGTTTCTTGGAGATGTTCCTGCAGTTCATCATTAAATATATATCCGTGTCCCTGTGTGGATTATAGGCAGTACATCACAGGTGTAGAGCTGACAAACGCAGGTTGATGCGCGATCTGCCTTTTCATGCCACCCTGATCTGACATTTGATGAAAATCAAGGGCAGGTAATTCGAGATCACGAGGGGTGTGCATCCTTGGGTTGATTTAAGTTTACCCACATGCAAGCACGTTTGATGTAGAACACCTCCAAGAATTTGAGGTGGGGTGGGGGTGAGAGGATGATGATCTAGGCAATCTAGACAATCCAGGGATCAACAGCATGAGCATCGATCTACACAGCTGGGATGCAATGACATGTGTCAACCCAGTCAGCAAGCCTGACCACTCGATCCCATTAGTCGCCTCTTACGACAAGCATGGGTTACTGAAGACCAATTCTAATCCGGATCTTCACAGGTACTAGAGAAAGACTAAACCCTTTAACCCTTTAAGCGTCAAACCCTTCAAGCCCTGTTTGTCCCGTCTATTTATGTACATCTAATCTCCTATCCTATCCTTGTTAGGCATTTCCGTCTTTCATAATATTGATGTTAACAAGCAAATATACACATATAAATAATTACTGATTATGGGTACAGAATAAGATATTAAAAAAAAACAAGTGAGAAAGTTCGTGTCCTTTCCTTTGAATATGTCTTTCATGTTATATATGAAATGTGACGTTATTGAAGAGGGAACGCCTGCAGCTACGGCCGTTCAAAGGAGACGTCAGTGGACAGGTTTACAAATTGGTCCAGTCGCCTACGGGACTTGCTGTGTTTGTCGGGTACAGGAGGGCGAAAGTGGCATGTAGAGAAGGAATGAGGAATGGTCGAAGAAACATCCCCTCTGGGACAAATCCCCGATCTAGTCAACTTTCGGAGCAACGTTTGAAGGAAGACCGCGAGGATGTTACACACTGCTAACTCATATTACTAGCTTAGCCCTCGTTTTAAATATAACTTTTGACCTCAGCGGGCACAAATAGACTTTAGGAAATGAATTTTTGCATCAGTTTAGAAGAAGGAAATGTTTATACAACCAAGTGGATAATTTTAGATAACGGAGACGCTGAGCGCCATGGTGACGACGTAGCACTAGCCCGACGTCGCATCTCCTGGCTCTCAGTCTAATCTGTCTCAACCTGTTCTGTACAGTTTGACCGGATATCCTCCAGGTACCCTGGCTGCTGTGCTCTCACCCATGGCAGGACGATTACGCAAATGTAGTGATCTTGGGCTACAGTGGTGACTCGAGGTCTGCCTGTACAGGGAGGGTCATTTGTTATACTTGTTTGGATGTAACGAGCTGTAAGCCGTGATATCGTTCTTAGACGCCTGCATTCTTTTAATGACGATGTTCCGTGTCGGATTTGACCTTGAAACTCCTTCAAAACGAATGCCGATTTCAGTAATCTGGATTTGTATAGCCAACCAGACAGTGCAAGCTCTTTGCTGCACAATTTCAACTGGAAGGTGATTTCTGTTGCGTTGTGGTGAGGAATTTTTTATCCTTGTAAGAAATCTCATCAAAATCAACATTTTCAGGTAAAATCGAATTTTGACTTGTACAATTGTGTAAAATCATGTTATCAACACTTTCGTTACATATTTTGACGATTATTTGACCACAATAGGTAATTGATAGATTTTAAAAAATACAAAACGCCTGTGCGTTTCTTTTTTTGGATAGTATATATGTGTAGTATTGTAACCTTCCTCAATGTCGAAATTCTTTGTACACAAGACATCATATTGATAATAGGGTGGCATAGACGTAGTTACATGCCACAGTTGAGACAGTAGGAAATTAAGGCATTCGTAGTAATTGTCAGTTGGAGCAAAACATTCAAGTGTTGCTGTAAAGTCGAATACTCGATGGCAGCGACTACACATGAACGACTGTATTCCTGCAAACTGGTCAAATGAGTGAGTTAGTGAGTTTAGATTGACGCCGCACTCGGCAATATTCCAGTTATAAATAATCGAGTCTGGACCAGACAATCCAGTGATTAACATCATGTCATCGATCTACGCAATTGTGACACGATGACATGTGTCAACCAAGTCAGCGAGCCTAACCATCCGATCCCGTTAGTCGCCTCTTACGACAAGCATGGGTTACTGAAGATCAATTCTTACCCGGATCTTCCCGGGGGTGATCAAATGAATGATACAAAGGGGAATAGTGTTCTTTGCATTTCTTTGTTTGTACACATTTCGTTTCATTGATGACATACAGAAAATGAGACTTACGCTTGTTTAGTTCGAACACCCCTGTATTGTACACCCCTGTATTGAGCCTGGAACATCTCAAACCACCAAGCGTGTTCCTGTGAACAAGGGAGGCAACCCTTTGTTCCCGTAGCTGCTATGACTTTTGTCCATTTTGCAAGCATTGAGATGGGTAGATGAACATTACCATGAAGCAATTATCTTTACAGATTCTATGGCAGCAATCAAAGCTATAGAAGCTGGTGCAAATGGATCTAGAGATGACATTGTGCATGAGATATTAAAGTTGGATACATCTTTAAACATGAAGTACATTGCATGCGACATTGTGTGGGTCCCAGCACATGTTGGAATACATGGGAATGAGATTGCAGATAATTTGGCCAAATCCGGGTTACAGTTTCCTGAAGTTGATTTATTTCAATTTCAACCAATCCCTAAAGATTATGAAAATGTTTTATCAAAATCTTTTACAAGGAGTTGGCAACAGTTGTGGGATACAGGTACTACCGGCCGACATATGTACAAACTTAGACCATCACTAAAATCTGGTCATAAAGTTCGTCGTCGTAAAAGGCGTGATGAGGTTATTCTTTCACGTCTAAGACTTGGACACTGTGGGCTAAATGCCTACAGGAGTATTATAAATAAGACGGTCTCTTCTAAATGTGGCCATTGCAATTTGGAGACGCCTGAAAACATCGAACATTATCTAATTACATGCCTTTGGCATAACAACATAAGACAAAATCTCAGAAGTGCTGTACTTGAGGTTGATGATGTATTCTCATTAGAAACAGTTTTGGGCCCCAATATCATGTATGGGTGTGTGCAACGGGCAGTTTTAGATTTTGTCTCGTCATCTGGAAAATATGTTGTAATGTAGACAGGCTCTCGAATGGCTTAGACAGATTTAGTTCTGTGGTTTTAAAGCATTTTAACACTCTGTCATCTGAACCTACTGCTTTTTAATTGAATGAGTATTTCATGTTTCAGAAATGGAAGTGATTTCTTAAGGTTTTTAATCCGTAACACGAAGCAGAGGTTATTCCATATATGAATACATCTATCCAAATTAATAGTGTTGTCGTTTCTTTTATCTTAGCTAAACGATTCCTTTTGGCAATGAAATTACGTATGATTGTTTATTAAATCAAGTCAATGTGTTGGGCGCAAATAGGCCTCTTATTGGCCCACGTCTCCCTAAAACTATAAAACCAACCAACCAACCAAGCTGCTATGACTGGCTGTTCGCTGTTTTTTAATATCTGGCGTGATAAGTGCCTTTAAACATTAGGCTACCCCTATGTTTATTGTGAAACCAGTATCTGCAATATAGGTCTAAGCTTGAGTCATTTATTAAGACCTAAAGTGATGACCTAATTTGGATTTTGAAGAAAACGTAATTACTTCAGTTCTGCTCCTGTTCTGCTTCAATGAAAAAACGAATAAAATCAATAAACGAGTGTATATGAGGAGGATATTTTGTATGGTCTAGATTTCACGTACTTGTTGGAAAACAAATGAGATGATTTTGAGCTGAAAAAATGTAAAACAACAGTTACTAGAAATGGAATTTCGAAGAGTGAAGGAAATGATGGAGAGAGAAGAACAATTAATAGAACCGGAAATACTTACAATACAAAGATAGAATTCAAATAGAACGAGAGAGTTTTGAATTCATATCTCGACCCTATACACTTGTAGTCGGGTTATAATTGTTTTGATTACTGCTTAATGGAAATTCATTGCCTATGGTCATCAGTTCGTCATTTGAATGGTGACAGTCGTAGCATCGTACAAACATACACAAAGATTACTCGGCTCTCACACAGATGATCTGCTACCAGTAAACCGTAACTACTTGTCGGTGTATTAATATTTGGAAGTGAATTTTTTAAGTGGATCAGTTTTAGTTCATTAGTGAAATGAAGTCATGTCGTCTATCCAGAGTACACATACCTCAATTGTTGGAAACAATGCTCAGCGTCTTGACAGGTGTACAACACTTAAAACCTGACTTACAGATCAATACAAACAACTGACAGATCGATGAAAAACAAGGATACGTATCCTACATCAGTAGACGCTGTGCGGTTGCAGCGAACAGTGCCTGATTACGCGATATTGCCTTCAGATATTGGGAATTTAGATTCTGAAAATGGATATGTGTATGTGTAGTTCAGTTCTTGTTCTGATGATGTCTGTGTTGGTACACGGATCTAGCGGCACCTGCCTGGAGGAACTCAACTGGGTTCCTTCTCCTTCTTACAGTAACAAGAAGTTTGACGGAACAGTTAAAGTCTCAAAAACAATCAGTGGTACATTGGAATGTATTTCTTTCTGCATATTCAGCGGAAACAAAGTTTCTGTCATTTACGACACAACTGACCAGCGGTGTACTTGCCACAATTTGCCGTTGTCGTCGTTGACGCTAGCCGACTCACAGGACGCTGTGGCATTTGGGGAGACCAGCCTACCTGCAGGTAACAAACACAATATACATCTGTTATGTCGTATGTAGAGATGCACCGACAGCTGTCCTTTTTTCACAAGCACAAGCACGATGCACTCTTTCCACCACGATGAGGGGCGGTGGGGTAGCCTAGTGGTTAAAGCGTTCGCTCGTCATGCCGAAGGCCCGGGTACGATTCCCCACATGGGTACAATGTGTGAAGCCCATTTCTGGTGTCCCCGCCATGATATTGCTGGAATATTGCTAAAAGCGGCGTAAAAGTAAACTTACTCACTCACTCCACCACGATGACGCTAGACCTCATCACAGCAAGACCAAGGAATTTTTGAATCGCAATAACATCAATGGTTTGTCTGACCAACACAATCCTCGACTCTATTCACATCCAACATTTTGGGTATCCTCTTGGACGAAGAGTGAGACTCTGACCATCCACGGTACTATCTACGTGGAGTGCATAGGGGTGATCCCCAATGACGTCATCCGCCGGCTTACGTTGTGTATGAGACAACGCGGATAGGCTGTCATAACTGTAATTATCGGTCGTAGAAAATATTAGGTTCATCCAAGTTTACAGAAAATATAGCTGTGGTCAAAGAGATGTGGGTCAATAATTGAAAGAACATTAATACTGGTATAAATGGTTGATATTCCTTAAACTAAATTATATGAACTCAAAGGACCATTAATTTTAGTTATTTATACTCATTTCGACTAAAATATACTCTCCCAAAAAAGAAACGCATCATGAAAATAGCAATTTCATGTAGCAATGAATTAAAACGTGATTGATTTTACAAAAGGTTTTGCTCTATTTATGCGTCCTATGGTGTTTATGTTTTGAAACATCACAACAAAACGCACCATCCGTAAAATACCCGTATTTATCAGCAAGATTTTCAATTTCGGCGTCACAGTTGAAATTCCTATATGCATTTCTTTTTTGGGAGAGTATACAATGCAAGTAATATGTACAAAAGAAACATTTCTTCATTTCGTTATAAGCGTAGTTTATTTATTAAACCCCCATCCCGCTAATGCCAAGCTGTATTGGATTTTCGAAACAAAGAACCGTCAATGGCCCCGAGTTCTTGTCAGAATGGTTATAACACTTCATTGGTCCAATGGTTCAGAATACAAGAGGGTGTGGCATTATGTCACGTAACTGAAACTATATTTCGCTGTATACCCGATCTACAATCTCGCTTACACGATCTCATGTCTCGTATGTGTGTATTTTAAAACCCATATTCCATCTTCGCGATTCAATTGTTGGAACGCCCAGTTAGGTTTCAAGAACGGACAGTTGTTGTCAGTTGTGCATCATCTCGGAACGACATTTCAGTGAATTCCCACTTGCAGGGTCATTATTCATAAGGACTGTGGCGTTACTCATACATTTCATTCTACGAAATACCACATACACCATGTACACGGTAGGCTTATACAGTTAGTTCACTGGGGATCGGAATATTTCACACAACACAATCAACGGATTTCAAATCATCGAGAATACCTTATACGTGTTTACAAGTTTGATTTCACATTACGGTGTAAGTCAATCTAGCATTTAATGATTATTCACACTAAATACTCTCGGATTCTCCAGCAGGAGGTTTAAGGTGTGGCGCGGTGGTGAAACAAGCAGTGTACCAGTATTGGGAGATCACCGTCCTGTGCTTACAATCTAGAACTATATATATTCGTCAATACCTGACAACTGCTGCAACTCAAGCCCTTGTTCGAGCTCTTGTTACATCTAGGCTTGACTACTGTAACAGCATCCTTTTAGGCCTCAGTTCCAAACTCCTTGATAAGCTTCAGAAGATCCAAAACACTCCCGCCCGCATCATCAGCAAAACTTCTAAACGTTCCCATATAACACCGGTGTTGAAAGAACTGCATTGGCTACCAGTTAGGGCCAGAATTGACTTTGCGATCCTCTGTCTGACATGCAAGTGCCTCCATGGTTTGGCTCCCTCCTACTTGTCTGACCTCCTACATCCGTATGTCCCCGCAGGCAACTTGCGCTCAAACACACAAATTCGACTGGTCATCCCATCCTACAAACTGAAATTCTTTGGACACCGATCAATCTCTTACTCTGCACCTGTACATTGGAACTCTCTCCCATGTGCCCTTAAAAGCTCTGACATAATTGACATTTTTAAATCCAGACTTGAAACCCACCTTTTCTCAGTATATTATGTATAACTTCATCTGTAAATACTCCAGAGTAAATATTCTGTAGCGCTTTGAGCATGCCTTAGGGTGTGGAAGGGGCGCATTATAAATATGCATTTATTATTATATTTAACCTCACTAACTTCAAATGGAGCCAAACGCGTTTAAAACATAACCTAACTACCCATTGAAAACAGACACTACGTCTATGTTCAGTCTACCATAACAAAATGGAAGTCTGGGGTAAGCAGAAGTATTTCTTGAAGACACACAGGTTCATTGTCTGTAATGGGTTGTCGATTTCTGATCTAGCGTTTGAGCTCGCTGACTTGATTGACTGCATGTCCCATGCGCTTAACTTCGGTGGTGTGAAGTGCGCTTTGTACAGTTTATACGTAAATACATATCACTTGAATGTGCTTACAGACCGTATCGAACCAGTTGCACTACAAGGAATACATACATGAATATACATGAATACATGAAAAGGACTATTTTTTTGCTGTGTTCATGCAAAAGGACACAATTGAATCCCCCATGGCATTCAGTCTATGTGACTACAAATTTAACCCTAATAACCGCCCATGTGATCCCACGTTCATTTGCTACTGTTACGAAGTGGCTGACTGAGTTCAATAGATGATATATGGAAGCCAAGAGAATGGTCAGAAGAAAACTTCGAATGCCATAACTAAGAAATCACACACACGTCACACAGACGTAGTTTCTATCCACAACGAAAATAAGACCCTAGGTGTTTTGATAATAATGTCTACATAACGGCCTGATCTTATCTTGACCGCATACATCCCATACCGTGAAATTAATGTTCTTATACTCCACGGTTTCACACAGACAGTTATGGAAGCTGCTATCAGTTGGCAACATTCTCCAGAACGACCTCGGCATTATTTTGCATACCATAGGTTCATAATCTTAGTTTGATTTCAGTGAGAACTTCCTTTGTTTTAAAGTAGACACAGCTGATTTATTTCAGCGTTTATAACCATGGGTTGTCCTTGGTTTCACCTCTATCACACTATCACAACAGTGGAAGTATCTAAAGCCTGAAGAGCATGAGACCATCTGCTGCCAGGGCCAGGGTGAGTCTGCCTGGATTTCAATGGAATCCTACTTAAGGACTACTTACACAAAATGAGTCCTTTAATGGCAGATATAATGCTAATTTACCTTGGCAACTGTGGGCGATCGAGGCTTTACACGCTGAACGCATGCTTTTCCATCAGGACAATGGAAGTGTGTACAAGTATTTTCTCATGATTGAAATACTAAATGTGCAACTGAGCCCACTGAACATTTCCGAAGAAAACAACTGTTAGGGAAGCATTATGCAAATGATGATGACGCCGTTTCTGGTACCAGAGACTGTGAATAGCACCAGGGAGAAACCTTCTATAGCAACGGGACTTAGGCTCGCCAGCAGCGTTGGTGGGATGGGGTTACATTCAAAAACAAGTGGCAGTACTACCCATGGACGACCTACATCATGGCCACTATTCTGATCTTCTGTTCATGTAAAGTGTGAACACGTTCAGGTCTAACATTTTAGAACTGTCCATGAAGGCCTGTTGTTCCATAGGGACAGCGTACCGACCGACCGACAGACAGATGTATACGTTATCACCATGACTGTCATGCATCATTGAAGATCCCAGATTTGGCAGATGTGGCAGGTTTCCATTTTCAAGATGGAGGTATTTGGCGAGCATTGTGAAAATGAGTAATTTCTGCTGTTGTGGACCTTTACACCAACAGGAAGAAGCCTTCTGCGTCGACTCCGCGACACAGTCACTAATATTTTTGCGCAACAATCCCTCTTATCAACAGTCGTCATGATATGACATTCTTAATGCCATGAAGGTGGCGGCGTTGATCCTCTAGCACATCGTTCAACACGCATCATGCTTTCATTGCACAACCTATTCCTAATGAATGGACCTTCACTTCTGTGAACAGAGGCTATATTCTCATATTTGTCCTGGTTATCACCAATGGTTTTCCTTGGTTCGGACCTTTCTAAATTACGAAGGTGACACGGTGCGATGTAACTGAAGCTGTTCAGCTGTCTGTACCACTCACAATCCAATAGTACATCACTTTAAAACAAACACATCATTCATGTGCCCCTTAACTCATTAAGGCCGAGAGACGCATATATGGGGCAAATTAATCAGCTCCTCACAGCTCCTCTTACGAGAGATCCCACCTTTAGTATCAATCAGAAGAAGTATTTAAAGTGTTTTGATAACAATTGCTAATCATTATCATAGGCTTGTACAGCGTTTAGCAAATGAACGCATGTCGGCGAGAAAGGGGATTATGATGTTTTTACAGAGGTAAGTGCCTGGTACTCTTCCTTGGGAATGGATACTAAAATACTTCGTATGCACCTTGATTGAATTAGATGTAGGTTGTATAAACACACGATTATACTTGGTCTCTCGAATAGTTGAAATTGTTGAACTTACTAATTTGAAGTTTACTGAATTGTAATGAGTTGTTTTCCAAGCGAAAGTTCGTAGTGCTCTAACAACAGATTCAACAAATTGTTAGTTAGAGCACGATGAGCGAAATCGAAGAGTGCTTTAACTAACAATTTCAACCATTAGAGCATCCGAGTGCATATGCAAATCATATGAATCAATCTTTCATTAGAATCATATATTTACGGATACATTTAATAAAACGTTTGGAACTATTTTGTTGATTCCTGTGACAGCTGAATGTGTGTAAGGAATAGAGGCATTTTGGGGCTCATTGAACATTTAACAGAGCCCTAAATGAGAACTATAAAATGAGCAGCAA